CATCCATCTGCTGCTGCCAGTCTCCACCTCCAGTGGACCTGGCTTTGCTGCCTAGGCACTCCAGTTCATCTGCCCGCACCCACCATTGGGGGTGTTGGATGGAGTGGACAGGCGGCGTCTCCAGAACCTGTGCAGACAGGGCACATGGCGGGGTTGATGCTGTGGGCGGGTGGGGAATGTAATCTGGAAGCAGGACAGGTGGGTGGGGCCATGGTTGGGATCATGATTGGGATTGTGGGGTGGTGACAGCATGGGGCCAGGGCCCAGGACAGAGCCATGATCTGCTGCCCTCATGTCCTGGTGATGAGTGATTGGTGCTGTGGGCGAGGGCATGTGGGGAGCAAATTGCAGCTCTGCCCTGGACCCCAGTCCCAGGCTGTCATCACCCACAATCCCAATCCCAGCCCCAGCCCTGGCCCTGCCCACCAGTCCTGCTCCCAGCTGCTACTCCCAGCCTGCACACGGCCCCATCCCATCTGCGTGGCTGAATGTGGGACAGAGCCACTTAGGGAGTTTTGGTGAGCTCTCGTGGGCTGACGGGTAAGGGATGCTGACCCAGCCCATGACAGCTCACCAAAACTCCGTAAGTGGCCCTGAGGCCCAAATAATTGCCCAACTCTGGTATAGGCAGATGTTTATAATTGTACTGATATCAGATGGTACTAGTATAAAATGTTATGATGTAACTCTTACAACTGCATGTTACTGTTGATACAGGATTAAAGTTACAGCAATTTAGTTCATGTATCACTATAGGAACATACAGAAGTAACAGTTGAGCACATATTACTGTGATGTGCAGTTCTTTTATATTTCCTTACATAGCTCCATTAGATTTATAATTTTCTAATTTATAAATTTGTGTGTTTTTTCCAACTTTTATAATGTGTGTGTCCCTTATATCTTCTCCTACTTAATCTCTCTTATTTCCCCAAAGTTTTTTGTTTTTCAGATTAAAGTACAGTAATACTGCCACTGCTATAAGACACTTCCTTCAGGAGTTTCTGCTAGGAAGGAGAATATATGTTCTGTCTTATTATTGAATTCAGTATATTATTTAGCTCTGTCTAGGACTAAAAATAGTAGGATTGTTTACCACAGACTTGACTTCTTTATTTTTTTTATCACAGGTGAACTGGGTTGGGAGCTCTACCATAAAAAAGAAGATTCTGCAGCTCTTTACAATGCTATAATGGAAGCAGGGCAGGAAGAAGGAATTGACAATTTTGGAACTTATGCTATGAATGTCTTGAGGCTGGAAAAGGCTTTCCGGGCTTGGGGGGCAGAGGTCTGAAAACAAACCATTCTCTTCATTCTATTTGTTTGTTTGTGTTTCGTCTTATACAGGTACTAGTCAGAGCACAGAGTTAATATTTGTTCCAGTTTCTCAATCTGGAATGAAGAGAAATTAGAAAAAAAAATCTGCCCTAATGATGACCTGTAACTTTTTATTAGGTAAAAATAGCTAGTGTACTCCATTATATTTTTGGCAAAGATAATCTAGTCAATTCACTGCTAGTTTTCCCATCTTAGCATAATAAAATAATGAAGTTTTGCATTCTGGCATCTGGAAATCACAGTGACAAGCTTGTCTGGAATTTTATATAGAAGAGCTTTTTAAGATGTTTCATTTGTGCAGTAATTGTGTCATGAGAGGAAAATCATTTTCAGCTGATAAGATTTTTGAAACTTCCTCATTTCCCACCAGACTAATATGGATGAAAGAATTTGACAGAAACAAAGAACCAGTCCAGCAGCAAAGGGTGGACTCCTAAAGAAAGTCAGTCTATTTTTTGATTCCTTGAAACTTTTCCAGATTCATTTGTAGTTAGTGCTGTACCTTCTTACTTGCTTTTATCTCAGAAATTTTACAGTCTCTTTTCCTTGGCTCTAAAATATTTTGTACTACATTTCTTTTACTTTCTCCCAGTACTGCCAAAGTTGCCTTTCCCCCCCATTTAATGGCCAGGCAGTAGCAAAAGGAGCAAAAGTTTCTATGACTAAAGTGGATATAACTGGCAATGCATTTATTGTTTTCCTTGCCACATATGATGTTCTGGTGCTCTGGAACTGATTGATATACCTCAGTTGTCCATGCTTGTGTACATTTTGTTCTTTGTTGATGTCTCATTTGTTTTTAAGCTATGTATTTATTATTGATGTTAAAACTTAAGATACCTAAAACAACCCATGTTTTATGAGTCTGCTCTTTGTTGTACATATCATGTATAGCAATATGCACTTTACCCAAACTACACTGAAAGCTGTATCAGTGTAATTTATCTGTGGTGAAGAACAAATGGAAATCGACATAGAAACACAAGCAGCAAAACAATGGGCATGATACTGGTTTATCACTAATGGATTAAATATTTATTTTGTAATAGATGAACTGTGACACTAATCCTTTGGAAGCAGGACTGGAATATTTTATAAAGCTAAACAAGGTATGTCTCCATTATTTTCAAAACTTTGTTACTTACAGGGTTTCTTCTAAATATATTTAAGTTTTTTCTATGATATACAAGTATAGATATTTGAAAATGAGTGAAACAGTTTCTCATTGTATTGTAAAGTAATTCTTAAGTGTCACTTTGCTGATAACAATGTTCTTTGTATTTCTTGTTGACAAAATTATATAGTAGAGTTTATACCATATTTCCTTACATACATTGCACCCCAAATATAGTGTACACCTTATTTTTGAAGGGCAGAATGAAGAAAAAAGATTTTTCCATAGTTATGACTGCATAGAACAGAGACAGAGCCTAATCTTCAGGCCCTCACCCTTTCTTTCCTGCATAACTAAAGCTGAATCCCTAGCTGCTGTTGAAAACTGGTCTCTATTGGTGGGTCTACAATTTTATAAAGCATTAAAGAGTCTATGCTAACGAGATAAGGAGTCTGAGCTAAAGAGGCTATGAAACAGAGACCCTGGGAACAGGTAGCAGACAGTAAAATTGCCCTCAGAAAGGTCAGCTTGATTAGGGGAAATCAAGGCCATTAAAAAAGGATCTTATTAACACCTGTGGAGTGAAGAAAAATGAGTAATTAAGTCAATTAACTCCCTCAGCTTCCTAAAATCAAGACCACAACTACTTTACAGTAGACCAGGAATCAAACTAAGGTGCTTCCAATCCCAGATAAAAAAATCAGAGTCCCTGCTTAAAACATGCACCCCAACTTTGTGGGGCTGATTTTTGCAGAAGAGGTTTGTGTTGTTTGTGAGAAAATACAGTGTATATATACACTGTATATGTCTTATCTAAGGTTGTGTATGGGAGGCTTTAATATATTAAAAACAGCTCTTTCAGTAAAGTGGGAAACTTGGGTCTTGTATCTTTTTGAAAATATGTAGTATCTATATACCAGTGAACTGCAACATTTATATTATGGAAACATGGAAAAGTTTTGACCTGTCTGTTTACTTAATGAAATGTTTGGTGCAACATTCTCTCTTATCTCCCACTCAATATTTATTGTATCAGAGTAAATATAGGTTTGAGGAAAGTTAGTTTAAAACAATTGCTCAGTGCAGACTTGAATATGAAGAATCAAACCCAAGAAGCTAAATTACTGTGTTCTTGTAAAACTTATTTATAAAGCTGCTGAAGAGGCTGCATCAGCAATCTGATTGCTGCCTAATTCTAAATCTAAGAAATGGGTTTAGGTTAGGGTTGAAATCATGGCTGTATTTAAATGTAGATTACAACAGTTAATATAAACTGTCATACCTCCTTTTACTGGCATCATTGTCTTGTAATAATACATTGGTAATTTTTGTCCTTCATCAAACTCTATGCAAAGTCCTACATATATTTCCTTAGTCTCTGTCCCTCAGTTCCTCGTCTGTAAATACTTCAATTCATGGAGAAATTGGGAAGATATATTAATTAAAGTTTGTGAAATAGAATCTACAGTGAATAAATGCCATAGAAAAATCAATGAAGAAATCTATAACAATCTGTTCTAAAGGCAGGACTGGATTATTCTGCAGTAAATAAGGCCTAGAGCCCAAATTGTATAATGAGGATAACACAAAATGTGAGCACAGTTCATTCTGTGCAGCAGACAAAGAACAAATCTTTTGGGTCTTCTATTCTGACTTCCTGCATGGCACAGGTCCCAGAATTCCTACATCTTCCTCAGTGCCTGGAGCTCTGCTGATTTCCTCATGTCAATGCTTGCTTCTTTGTGCAGTGGATTTATTGCTATGTGGATTGGATAACATAATTTTTCCCTAATTATAGAAAATGACAAATGAGAAGTAAACACACTGAGTCTATGCATAATATAATGCATTATTTATCCTTTACACATGGTCCTGCCATGTAAAATACAGCTGTAGTATGAGAATGAAGTGAAAAATAAAGTACATTTGTTATTAGGGTTTTTT